GCGGGAGATACCGGGGGGACAGCGGGAGATACCGGGGGGACACCGGGGACAGCGGGAGATACCGGGGGGACACCGGGGAGGACTGGGGGGACAGCGGGGGGACACCGGGATTAGCGAGGGGACAGCGCGGGGGCATCCGGGGACACCGGGGAGGGACCGGGCTACAGGGGAGGGGACCGGGGATACCGGGGGGGACACCGGGAATAGCGGGGGGACAGCGGGGAGGACTGGGGGGACACCGAGGGACAGCGGGAGACACCGGGGGGGACACCGGGAATAGCGAGGGGACAGCAGGAGATACCGGGGGACATCAGGGAGCACCGGGAGACATCGGGGAACACCGGCGGGGACACCGGGGGGACACTGGGGAAGACTGGGGTGACACCGGGGGACAGCGGGAGACACCGGGGAGACACCGGGATTAGCGAGGGGACAGCGCGGGGGCATCCGGGGACACCGGGGAGGACCGGGGGTGACACGGGAGGGGACCGGGGATACCGGGGGGACACGAGGGAGCACCGGGAGACACCGGGAGACATCGGGGAGCACCGGCGGGGACAGCGCGGGGGCATCTGGGGATACCGGGGGGGATACCGGGAGTAGCGAGGGGACACCGCGGGGACACCGGGACGCGGGGGAGGGCCGGGGGGGACACCGGGAGATACCGGGGGGACAGCGAGGGACACTGGGGGGACACTGGGGAGGACTGGGGGACACTGGGTGACATCAGGGGATGTCGGGGGGACACCGGGAGGACACCGGGGGTCCTGCCGGGGTTCGGTGTCCCCGACGTTGCCGCCCCCCCCCCCCCCGTGCGGGGTTGTCGCCGTCCCCGTTTTGCCGCAGTTTGTCCCCAAATTGTCCCCAAATTGTCCCCGCTTTGGGTGCCCCATCCCCTGCTTTGGGACCCTTCCCTGTCCCCCAAAGTTTTCCCCCCCACCCCCCCCATTCCCAGTGTCCCCTCTCGGTGACACCCCCGGGACCCCCCCATTGCACCCCCACCCCTCATCCCCTGTGGCTGCCTCAGTTTCCCCC